AACACTTAGCAACGATGATAGAGGAGCCGATGACTCACGATTTTAGTCGGGGGAGGGAATGGATCCAAACCAGCCAGCCAAACCAAAAGTGGTTTGGCTTGGCTTAAAACCTGCTAATGTAGATAAGAGCAATGGGAATTAATTGTATATATAATTAGAACTAAAATCATTTGATTGAGGGTTGTTCAATCTATTTTGAGGATGATCTCTCTCTCTCTTTCTCTCTCTCTCTCTCTCTATATATATATATATATATATATATATATATATATATATATATATATATATATATTGTCACACCCCCGAACCAGACGGCGGAAACGTCTGAGGGCTCGTGTGACTTAAATTGAAATATCATCACAATGATTATACATGAAACATAACATAAACATCACCATGCATTACATAATACAACCGTCATTGTTCACATCAAGTACATTGTTTAACATTACATATTCCAAAACATAAAATGTACTATATTTGACATTTGCATAAAAGAAGTTCCAAAATACTCACGATGATTCTTCAGCTTACTGATTACCTGAGAATACAAGTTATTTAAAAAAAAAATCAACATATATAATGTTGGTGAGTTGATAAGCATGTTTGATTGAAAGATTTTGTTTAGTTCGTGTAACCCAGAAAATCCGATATTTTTTCTAAATTCTCTGAAAATGATGTAATGATCAAGTATGAATGTATGTGTGATTTCTATTGTAAAAAAACATGTATAAGTAAGCAATTCAAGTTTTCCTTGTTTTGTATCTGTTGTAAGCAGAAGGTAATGAATAATAGTATTTCCCCAGAAAATCCGATATTTTCTGATTTACAAAAATATTGTAGTCCTTGTATTATCGTATGATTTATTTTGTATCGATATGATTTACGAGTTTTGATTTCTGTAATGTTGTGATGGTAATGGATCTCTACGTGAGTCATTATAACCATGCATGATAGTGACTAATTCGTCTGTCTTGGCATTTTTACAAACGCCGGTTTTGATCAAGATTTTTGTCACCCTAGACTGGCCTAGTCTAACTATAGCGAACAGCTCAGGTGTGGGGGAGTCACCCCCGTATAGATCTATACACAAACTCTCGCTCTCCCTCCAGGAGACTCTGATTATAACTACAGGATATGGCCATACACTCAGTGGTGTCAACCGACAAGTCTCACTAGATCCAAATTATTTACCGCATGATTATGTATAACGTTGTATGTATTTTGATTTACAACCACTAGTTGATACATGAATGTTAATGGATAAAGCCCAACAAACATGAAAAAGGACAACTGTGGCCCATTAGTCATGTAAGTCATTTCCAGGCTCATTAAGTATGCAAACGGACACGTTATGGCCCATAAAGCATATGATGAATATTTCAGGCCAAATTAGAAATGTGAATGGGCCACTAAGGCCCAATAACATGTAAAGGCTAATTTAGGCCCATTATGCATGTAATTGGGTCACTAAGGCCCAATAGACATGTATTGATTATATTGGGCCCAATAAACATGCAAATGGATCACGAAGGCCCAATAAGCATGTATAGGGAGTACTGAGCCCAATAGTCGTTACATTGTTGTATTTCGTATGTTTGTTATAGCATGATACTTTTAGTCGAAACATTTACCCGTAACGTTATAAAAAGTCCAGCATTTGGTTATAACGTTAGTTTTTTTTCGTTTATTTCAAAAAATACCATTTTAACCCTTAATTTGTAAAAATTTATATCTTCGGCCCAAATGTTTAATAATTGACAGATTTGGCCCAAAAATACATATTTGACAATTTCAGCCCATTTTTCATAGAAAATTTCATTTTCAACCCCAATTTAAATAGAATGATATTTTTGGTCCTTTTTGGTGAAAAATAACAATTTTAGTCCATTAAATCATTAAACTTAGCATTTTCGGCCCAATTATAAATTAATTTACATTTTCGGTCCAAAATACATTTATTTACATTTCCAGCCCTTATTTTGTAAAAATTTACATTTTCAGCCCTTATTTGAATAAAATGACAATTTCGGCCCAATTTTTATAAAATTAACATTTTTGGCCCAATTTTGAAATAAGGGTCATTTTCAGCCCTTATTTTTGTTTATTTTCACTTTTGGCTCAAATTTTGATTAAATAACATTTTTATCCTTAAAAATTAATATTTTTGCAATTTGGGCCCAAAAACCGTAAGGCCCAAAATTTAAGCCCATAAATGCTAAAATTTACACCTTTGGTCCTTTGAAAAGTGTGATTATTATAAAACTCATTTTTATACAAATGTGACCTTTTGATCCTTATAAAACCGAAAGTGTCATAATTTTTCCCCATCTTTTGTTTACTTGTCAAAAATAATTCCTTAAACAAGATTTTTGTTTTGTTTTTCACATCTTAGGCATGTAATACACTTTTATCTTTATAGTATGATGTTTAGAGTGTTTTAGTTTATCGATCTCACCTATTATTGTTAAAGATTTCGAGATGTGTCAAGTTTTACCACATATTCACAACAATAACCAAGAAAATCACACATAACATGCATAAATACATAGATCTATACATAACACTTGTATTCTCCCCCCAAAAACATGTAAAAACCGAAAACAAGGGGTTATGAACTCACATTTGCTTTGATGTTTCGGTTTTGAAGAAGATATGGAAGGAAGTGATGTGATTTTCGGCTCTAGCTAGCTCCTTGAGGGGACTTTCGAACTTAGATGAGTTCTAGGAAGTTAGATCATGAAGTAAAGTTATGTAAAAAGGAGTTCTTAACATTAAGATGGAAGTAGATGTTTGTGTTTGATAACAACTTACCAAAGGTTGAAAACTTGATGAAGATCCTTGAAACACAAGCAAATTTCGAGATTCTTGATGGAAGAAGGAGGATGCTCTTGAGAGATTAGAGAGAGTTTGAAGGAAAGTTTGAAGATGTGTGTGTGTGTTTGTTCTCGGCCGAAGGGATAAGAAGAGGGGGAAAGAGAAGTGGGAAGGTGGATGCCTTGAAACATGAGATCTTGCCTAGTTACATGATGGACAATTTGCATGGATACATTCCATGCAAATATTATGTGTCATCTTAGAATTGATTCAATCCTTTTTTTTGGTAATTTGGGCCGAGAATTTGGGCTAAAGAAAGAAGAGGATTAATTTGGGCCATTACTTGTCTTGACTCGAAATCATGAGGCCCAATAATTACTTTTCGGTCCATTGGGTCCTTAGAACGGTTCACGGCCCAATATGGTATAAAGGAATGGGTTTAGGGCCCATTAGGGCTAATTAATTCATTTATGGTCCAACAAGGCCCATTAGAGGTAAGATAAACCATTTTATGAATATGGGTCCATTTAGAGCCCATTTAAGGTTTCTAAGCCCAAGATAGTCAAGTTGAGTGCTTATTGGTTCATTAGACCCAATAAGAAAATTCTAGTCCATAATGAACTTGAACTGGGATTCTTAGGATTTTCAACTCCCAATTGACTTTCTGAAATGTTTTGTATAGAGGTTTGAACTTTACTTGATGAACCTTGATTGAATTTGTTGTCATTGATTGAGCACAGTGTTTGATATCAATAAAAATTACATGTATCACAACGGATGATGTTTACAAGAGTACAGAATTTCCTAGCTAAATTGCTAGTTGTGATATATATATATATATATATATATATATATATATATATATATATATATATATATATATATATATATATGAATGAATGAGGTTCAACAAAATTAATTAATATGTAATTGATTTAATTTAAATTATATAGATTAATAAATAGTTTGGACTTCGATAACTAAAGTTATTATATTGCAAGGTTAAAATAGTAACAACATTTAAGTATTGTATTTTAACGTGAATGACTTCAGGAGTTTCTCATTCACGGTATGATGCTGAAAGTAAATATAGTATATTATGAAATATTGATAAGTAATATTTAAAATATTGGACTAAGTGAGGATTATTAAATACAATTGTAGTTACTCAGAGAGCTGGAAATTCATCCTAGGCACTTTTTTTATTTAACATGTGTTTACGTTCAGGTGAGTCTTCTCGTTATACTAGTGGGTCGAAGGCACCAATGTCGGCCTATTGGATTATATTTGTAGGATGCTAGTTGTCTTTGTGTCACACCCCCGAACCAGACGGCGGAAACGTCCGGGGCTCGGTTGACTTTATCTTGGAATATCATCACAGTGAATATAAATGAAACATAACATCATCATCACCACACATACCATAATACAACAATATTGGGTTTACATCATTTTAGTTGTTTACAAAAGTTACATCTCAATACTACAAAATGTATGATAGCAACAAAATGAAACAAAATCCACATGTTCTTGATGTCCACCTGCTTAACGATTTCCTAAGAATACAAGTTATTTTTGAAAACGTCAACATATATAATGTTGGTGAGTTAATAAGCATGTTTGAATAAAAAGTTGTATATCACTTTGTAACACCAGAAAATCTTATATTTTCTTATAAAAATGGTTTGAAAGTTTTGTGTCAAATCTTGTATTAAAGCATGTGTGTTTCATTTGAAAATGTATAAAGTGAGTATTCCGGAAAATCCTATCACTACAAATAAAATAACATTTAGTGACACAGAAAAAGTGTCACCAAAAGTCGAAAAAGTGCCCCTAAAAATACGTTCAGCAATCAACAACACAAAAAAAAAATGCCACTAAAAACGCTGCCACTAAAGGCCTTTAGTGGCACTTTTTGATTATGTCGTTGTAGCCTTAAGGGTTTTAGTGGCACATTTTTTATGCCACTAAATATTTTTTTTGCATTTTTAAAGCAAGTATGAATTTTTTTTTTTTGGAATATAGATAACTAAAACTCTCTCTCTCTCTCTCTCTCTCTCTATATATATATATATATATATATATATATATATATATATATATATATATATATATATATAAACATAAAATTTCCGTTAAGAAAGCAATTATTAGATATGGTAAATTCATAATAGATAGTGTATTGGTTACAAGAGTCAACATTGAAGATGGCAACAATATTTACAACAAGATTGGAGCAACCATTTTTACTACTCACTCCAAACCCTAAAACTAGGAGTTAACTCGCTTCATCGATTTGTTGTTCGCCAGAAAAGCCTCCCAGTCTTAACACAAACCAATCTTTAACTTTGGCCCCAACTGTTAAAGTCCATCACTTAGGGAATACAAACCAACCTTAAGAATTTGCTGCCATTCATTCCCTGACAACTCTAACAATAAAGAGTAGAAATGCAAGTTGTCTTTTGGCATCCACCATCTAGTACAGATAAAAAATAATGGTTATAAGAAACAGATCCAACAATGTAACAAAAAAGCTTGTGATGACATTATCAACAGTTGATGCAACAACTTAAAAAAAATCTAGTAGACTAAAGTTTTCACCAGATCCTAATGTTGTTCTGCTTTGTACATGGAACCACCTATGCAAACCCAATGAACCGGCTATTCTCATAGGAAGTATTTTTTATAACATCATTTATGGTAAATAGAAAGCTAGTGAAGTTGAAATAATGAAGACAGATTAAACAAATGAAATGTTAACTCTATTCTAATAACATTAATCCAATTATATAAAAGATGGATAATAAACTTACTGTGGGAAAAGAAGGATCCAGGAGTCCAGCTTTCAGGAGGCTAGAAGCAAATAACTGAACTTGATAAGTGTTAAAAGGTGTTCTTTCCTGTATCAATATATAAACCAAACAATATTTATTCCTAAAAAGAATTTGATATTCAATTCAAACAACATAATTTGATTAACAGTTCTTCAACACAAACCAAGTAATATGGAAATGTTATAATTGGTATGTGTTAAAAGGTCTCTTTCCATCATCAATTTATAACCCAAACATCTTTTAATCCTAAAAGAGTTTGACATTTAATAAGAATATATAAAATAAATCCTATATTTTTTTTTTGCAATTTCTAACAACTAATTGACAATAAACTAAATAAAGTAAAATAACCATGAAAAGAAACTAAAGAATACGTTTTGTGAGCTACAGTTTAAAGCAACATATATCAATAATACAAAGAAGGAAAACATAAAAAGAAGTTAATTAACTAGATCAATTAATCATAAAAGACCAACCACCGTGTAATGCTGCAAAAAAAATCATTAAATCAATACATTTATAGCTTATAAAGACAATTGTGATGTAAAACCAAAGCAGGAAAATCTAACCTAAAATAGTAAATCAACAAGACAATACAAGAACAAAACAACAAAAAACTATGCATATCAAACCTTGTGTGCTACAAGTCTCCAAAGCATTGCAACAATGTGACTTGAGATAGACCAGAGATTCAGAAACTGGTGAGGTGCCGGTGGTGATTGAGGTATGGACCTCAATGCTGAGAAATCTTAAAGAACAAAGATTATTATAGAGGTGTACAATTGTACAGGTCTGTGAGTGTGTGTGTGTGTGTGTGAGAGAGAGAGAGAGAGAGAGAGATAACCAGAGGGTGAGATCGATGAGGGTCCAAGGGATAACGAGCATTGATTAATGATGTAATGTAGGTCGTAACATATTATGAACCCAAAATTAACAACTATAGACACAATAATTAACATAAATCTTAAATAAACAATTAGGAACACGATGATGCACACATTTACCCGTAAATTTTACCTTTCTCCCAGTAAAAGAGAAACCTAATGCAACTTTTAGATTTTAGGTGATAACAAAAACATCAATAATTTGAAACTCTCCTCCTCAAACCTAAAACAACCAACAAGTTTAGCTTATCAATTGCAATAATAGGACCGTATGTGGAACATGGTAAGGCCAAGAAATTGTGATTTTAAAATGGAGATCTAAGGGATGCGAGTGGGAAACATACGAAGGAGTTGAAGGTTAACCTGAATCGATGGAAATTATAGGTCGATTTGGGGTTTGGAGAGGCGGGGGGAAACGACAAAGTCGATTTTGGGGCGGGGGAAACTAGGTTAAAATTTTGAGATAAGTGGGAAAACACAAGTTTAATATGAAAATGAAATTTGGGGCGGCAAAACGATTTTAGTTTTGGGGGACCGGAAGCGGCAAAACGAAAATAGAAGCTATAGTGGCACAAAATAATAAAGTGACTAAAAATAAAATATAGTGGCACAAAAATAAATATGTCACTAAAAGTTTGTGCCACTAAATGTAATTTAGTTTCTAGTGTATATTTCCTGTTGTAAGTAAATGGTATTGTATAATTGTATGTTTTCCCAGAAAATCCGATATTTTCTGTTTATAAAAGTGTCGTGGTCTTAAAACCCTAAGACCGAGTACTAGTGTATGTATGTCTTTGTATCATCAAAATTGTATATGTATTCCGTAAATTTATGATGGAGTTAATCTCTATGTGAGTCGTTATAACCATACTTGATATGACTAATCCGCCTGTCATGACGTTTTCAGGCGCCAACTTGTTTAAGGTAAGGTTTGTCACCCTAGACTGGCCTAGTCTAACTGTAGCGAACAGCTCAGGTGTGTGTGTGTGTGGGGGGGGGGGGGGGGTCAACCCCGTATAGATCTATACACAAACTCTCGCTCTCCCTCCAGGAGACTCTGGTTATAACTACAGGCTACGATCGTACACTCGAGAGGTGTCAACCGACATGTCTCACTAGATCCTTAACTGAATTTACGCGTATATTGTATTACATTATGAAATGCAGTAAATAATGTTTCCGTGTATTTTTTAAGTTTACAAGACCGAACAAGCATGTAATTTGACCACAAAGGCCCAATAAACATGTAATGTATATTTGTAAGTCCCCAAGTCTGCTTGTGTATCAATCAGATCCAATTGATGGTGCGGAATCCCAATCAATTGGATGATGTCAGATCAAAATAGAAGAGAAGGAGAAGAAGAAGAAGATGAATCTATGATGTATTGAATGAATATGATTGATGCTCCTTACAATAGATTCACACACACACTTTTCTCTAGTTTCTCTCTCTACAATATGCTCTCCTTCTCTAGCCCCTCTAGCCCTTCCCCCTCCTCACCCTTACTTCTATATATATGGGTTGCAAACTCAAGGCCCAAACCCAATGCTAGACCGAAAACACATGGGTTTTCGGTCCAAGCTACAAATAATCCAATACTATTTTAGGTCAAAATAATAAAAACAATAAATGCTTAGAAAAGCAAAGTATAAACCATATTTATAGACCCAACAATCTCCCCCTTGGTTTATAGCTTTCTTTTCTAATTGACCCAACAAGCTCCCCTAAAAAGTAGTTGGCTTCTCTTCTTAATCTTCAGTTGGAGATTGGCTTCAGCTATTATCTTCAAATTCTTCACAACGTCAAGATGATCTTGATGAATCTTCAATGAATGACTTCATCTTGAGCAGTTGGGCATTTCTTCAAGATTTGACTCTAAACGCACATTGGGTGAGGAGGCTTGATGAAAAGATTCATGAAAGATAGCACTTTCAGCTTGAGAATCTTCAGAGAGAACAACGGAGAGAAATAATCTTCTAGATCACTTCAGCAGGTACAAGATAGCAGCAGACTGATTGAGGATGCTTCAATGCAATCCGTCACATAATCTTGAAGTCAGCTTCACCTTGCTTCTGGGGTTGAAGGATTGAATGTCGAAAGAATAATCTTCATTTCTTGCTCCTTCGAATGAGAATTCTTCGATGATCACGGATAAAGCCTTGGCTCAGAAAATCTTCGATACAGTCTCCATGAGTCTCATATATATCTGAATTCATTTTTTTCAAGACAAAACAAAACTAAAAGAAAACTTAGCACACAATATTTTTGGATTTTTTATATTTTCTGGAAAAATAAAAACATAAACAAAAATATTTTTGGATTTTTTATTTCTCTGAACAAGAAATAAAACGGAATATAATACTATTTTTGGATTTTTAATTTTCTGATTTTTTTTTGATTTTTGAATTTTTTTTTTTTAATACTCCCCCTAAATTTGTGCATAGAGGAAAACTATGAACAAATTTAACAAAAACAAAAATATTTGGGATCAAAGTTGTGAGACAGCTTGAACTTGTTTATCAGTACCTTCACTTTCATGAATAGATCTGGTCAATTGTCGGTATTGTGGTCCACTTAAACACGAAAGATATCGACAAACTTTTCTAAATAAACCATTTAGCTGACGACGACCACGGGTATTGTTGTCCACTTAAATTAAGCAGCGAGATCTACAGATAACCTATAAATCGTTCAATTTTAGTTGCACTAGAACGTGTTCCCCATTTCCCGATATACCCTGGTTATCAAGAACTTCCTAAGGACTCCTTACTTTAGGTGAGTAAACAATTATTAAGGAGGAAGTTAGATTTAGAAATAGGTGCATATGTTGTGTCCCAGGTCGGATATATTTCAATCACGCAGAGGGGACAACATATGGCTAACAGAGATAGAGGGATTGAGAGGTAGAATGGTGCATATGATGTGTTCCAGGTCGGATATGTTTCAATCACGTAGAGGAGACAACATATGTCTAACATATAGAAAGAATTTCACAGATAAGGAGGTGCGTAGAATTAGAGTTGCATATGTTGCATTCCAAGTCGGATCTCTTCCAATCACGCAGAGGAAGCAACATATGACTGACAGATAGAAAGCAAGAAAATAATTTCTACAGACCTACTTTATCAGAACCCCCTAGACGCCCTATCAGAACCAGAATTAAGGACATAAGTCCGTACATCAAAGAAAAGTTGAACCACTGTTCTAGATGCGTATTAATTTAGTGTATCCGGTGGGTTCCCGTGTTTATCTCTCTGCTCAATCTACCCGAGCGTCGTATGGTCAGTCCAAACAATCCTAACTAAATCCACACTGTCAAATCCTTTATGCCTACCAGCACATTGAACACAGAGTCTAGACAATTCAGATTCAGTCCTTTACACATGTTTTAGACTGCCCGTTATCACTTTCTTGATATCACTTCCCAAACAATACCTACTAAAGAAAAACTATAAAAGATTGTCTTTAAAACGAATCAGAGTAAGATAAACTCAGGAGTATAGAGAAGAAAGCGCAAACCGTAAGTCACCGATTGAATTTGCATCCAGAAGGTCTAAGAACAGCACGCATAATCTCAGAACAGATCCGAAAATTCTTCATGTCATTAAGCACTAACCCCATTTGTGATCTCTTCCTTTCCTCCTTTCCCGCAAAAGGACACATACTCCTATCATGTGCCAGGAACAGCCACTACCAACAAACCGAAGTCTGATGATATGCCTCCATAGCTGTTCCGACACAGAACGGGATCAATTGGTCTTTGGAACCCAGTCCATTTTGAAACTGGGTCGACCTTTGTCATCAACGCAAGGTACTCTCTCCCATGACATATCCTATTTATCACAAATAGAAGATGAAGAAATATTAGAGTCATTTGTTGTTTTGGGAGATTGAGCCTTCGGAACCCATTTGTAGTTGGGTTTGACCCATTTCTTTTTCGATCCGATGGGTACCTCGGCACTTGATTTTGAACTTGATGTCGGCCGTTGAGATGACTTTGACCTAACCGGTCTTTGTTTCACTGGAGCATCTCTTGAATTTTCCTTTTTGGCCGGCATTCCCTTATTGACCTTGGGATTTTGATTCTTGGCCTTCTGGGCATTCCAGTTATCATTGTCTGAACGTGACCTTGAGGGGTTTCTTTTGGAAGGTTTCCCTCTTGGCACATTCTGCCATCCTTGTGCGTAGTAGGGAACGTATGCGCGATTTGGACAGTTTCGGGCAATGTGACCAGGTGTTCCACAGTTAAAACATGTATTTTTCTTCACTGGGAAGTTGTTTCTTCCTGCCCCTGGTGGCGTGTCCATGCCTTGTCTCAGGTTGTTCCCACATGCACACTTGCAACATGCCGTCGGTTTCGCTTGTTTTGGTGGCCTGTATTTCTCAACAGCAGGTTTGTTAGGAGTAACTGAGTTAGAAGCAACAGATTCAGAGTTCAAGGAGTCATTGGATTGTTCAATATCTTTCTCCTTGTTCTCATCCTCTACTACTTTACCTGCACAAAAAGTAGAATCATTAGTATCGTTCAGCTCAACACCCTCAGTTGCCTGTTCAACAACTGGTTTACCGTATACCATAAATGGTTCTCGGTCAATCTCTTATTGAGTCAAAGGTTTAGCAGTGTAGTTGTGATTATAGAGAGGAGGGACACCTTCATACCCTAGACCCTTGGTTTGATTATCTTTAAAACTCAATTGTTTTTCAACTAAGGACTCGACTGTCTTACTTGACATAGTATAATTTTTGAAACTAACATCTGTTTTTTCACACTTAATTTTCAAGGTTTCAAGTTCTTCAGTCACAGCAGCAAGTTTTCTTTTGATGTGATCATAATTCTCACAATTATTGTTGTAATCTTCTTGCAGTTTTCGGAAATCCTTGATTTTGGCTTCTAATTGTGCTTTTAATGGTTTTTAACCTTTCCTAAGTGTATATCTTTCATATTTAAGGTCCTCATTTTCTCTTTTAATCAACTCGATTTGGTCACGCAAAAATTTAATTGTTTTAATGCAAGTTTGAGAACAAGAAACTTCATTGACCGGAATGGATGAGGAACTCATTTTTATAAAAAAAAATATGCTCTTTGACTAAAAACTCAAAAGTCAACCTTAAAAGTCAAATTTAAAAAGTCAAACTTGAAAAGTCAAACTTAAAAGTCAAACCGAAAGGCTAAATTTGAAAATTTAAAAGGTAAACGAAAAAGTCAAAGTTTAAAGTCAAAGGTCAAACTGGTACGAGGCACGTTTGAAGACTCAAGGGACCCGGGTCGATCCCCGGCAAC